TAGGATGACCAGTATTGTAGGCCCCAGTAGGGTGACACATTAGTTATTAGACCTCAGCTTTCAAAATCACTGGTTAGCTGAAGATTTCCCACCACCTCTTAAAATTATTTCTAATGTATTTATGTTCTAAAATTCTCTATTTTTTCATGGATGTTTTTCCTGCATATAGCTTACCACATGGAAAATAAAGCAAATAAACCACATTCTTAGTGTTACAGTTAATATTTGATTGTATAGGGACATTTTTTTCTTGAACTTCGAAATCTCTTTGTTTTCAATAATTTCTGTGTTTTATAAGCTGTACACTTATTACAAGAACTAAGACGCCTACTTAAAGTGCTTTTACATAGCTTGAGGCTAATATGCTTTCTAAATTCCTTGCCTTTTTAACAATAACAGGTGCTTTCAGGGGGAGAACCCAGCCAGTATAAGGTCCTGTAATATAACTACTCAATGCTTATTTAAAATATTTAAAATTTTCTGATGTTGCATATTATACTATAAAAAGCATATTTAAAAAAAAAAAAAAATTATAGTATAGTTTCAACCTTTCTATTTCATTAGTTCTCTTCTATTTAAAATTATGTTTTCTTTTCTTTGTTTAAAATATTTAGATTATATTAATGTGGAATCAATTAATAAATTGATTATCTTGCGTATCTGCCCCCGGCCAAATTAAGAAGTAATGCATGCACGTTCCTAAAGTAACTCACACCAGACACAGGTTTTGGGTTAATGAAAAACTTGAGGAAGGTTTATTCTGAGGGGACGGCATGTCCATTATAAAGCAAAATTACATCATATGCATTGTCAGAGATAACATGGAATAATACATCAATAATTGGTTAGGTGTTAAGTGGTTCATTTAGTGCTCTTCCTACCGGGTGTGATGTCACTGGTATCTTGGAGGTCTCCCCCAGATTCCAGCACAATCTTGTTAATGAGGGTGTTAGTCGATGTCAAAGGGAAACTCCCTAGCGGCCATTTTAGGTAAATCACATATAAAGTTGAATAATGCTGTTTGTAGTTATACTGAGTAAATAGGCATTTTACCAACATGGATTGGGTTAATATCTTTGTCCACAACAATATTTTTCTGCCAATTTTGTTGCACAAGTGTTGTGCCTGTTCCTTATATTCTGAATCTTTTGAACAATTTTATCTTGTGCAAAATAGCTGGCTCTTTTTTTTATAGAATCCAGCTAATTGTTATGGTGGCAACTCTTTTTATGTTTAAAAGCTGTTACCCTCTGTTTCCTTAAAATGACATTTTGACTGAATATTATGGCCTCCTTCATAAAAGTGATATCCGAAAAATCTATAGTTTTACTATTGTAAGTGTAAGTAAATCTTACTTCATAGTTGTTAGTGTTTATGTATTTTAAAAACGTATCCAGCTCACTTTGAGTGCCCCTCCATATATATAAGATATCATTAATAAAAAGCTATCAGAGGACCAGGTTTACAACCCAGCCATAGTTCTTAATCTCTCATGGATATGTTGGCATAGCTGGAGGCAAACCAGGTCCCCATGGCTGTGCCAGTATTTTGCAGATAAAAATAAATATGATGCAGAATAAAAGTAACACCTTCCAATAAAAAAATTCCTTAAAGTGCATGGTACTGTAGTGTTTTCGTTAGTAACCTTTTCTACTGCTAAGGTGCCCATGTTGTGTTTGTATAGTGACCTCACATCAGTTGTGACCCATACAAAAAATCTTTTCTATTACTTCTAATATATGTGAGGATTATTTTATATAAGAAGGTGCTTATATATGTGCACATTTCTGTAGATGGTAGTCTATACATTCTGATAAAGGTGCAGTAATTAACGTTGTTCCTCTAATGATGGGCCATCCTAGAGGTTTTACTGGGTTTTTATGTAATTTTGGTCATGTAAAAAATAGGAATAACAGAATGATCATGAAAAAGATATTCCGCATTATTTTTAGATAATTTTTTGTTGTGCTAAATTTAATATTTATTTTAAAACCAGAATGACTTTTGAAGTGGAGTCTTGTGTTTTGATCCCCCAAATTTGTATTAGTTTCCTTCAAGTAATATTCATTGGACATAATAACTACTGTACCACCATTATCAGCCTATTTTATTACTATAGTGTCCATTTTTGTCATTTCAAAATGCTGACAGCTTCTTCCTTACTTAAATTAAACTTATTTATGACAGATTTTCCCCTTTTTTATTTTTCAGGAAAACACTTTTTCAGGTCATTTTTCAAATGTATTTTTTGTCCATCTCTAAAAATGTTTGTGCAAAATTTAAACCTTCCTTAAGTGCTTGTAAATCTTCAGTAGTTAAATTAATATTAGCCAAATTATAAATCCCTAGTTCTTTTTCTAATTCTTCCTTCTATGATTTTTCTGCCTCCTGGGGTTTTCCTCTGACCTAAATTGGTTTCAATGTACTGTCAGCCTTTAACAACCCACACACAGTAGACACACTACTCAATAAGGAACCGCACAATGACTTCATAATGGGGCCTTTCATTCAATCACCTTTCTTATGTTGGCGCACTTACCCTATTAGCATAGCCGCTGGTAAATGTAATAATGAAAAAGAATGAGAATTAATCTTGCAGCTCCTCATTCTATTTCTACACCTAGCCTTAACTCATTAATTCCTTCTGAAGAGTTTCGCTACAATGGATAATGCCATTCAAGCAATTTGGAATACATGAAATGAGCTTGGCTTGGAAATACTGATAATTTGAAAGCCTTCAAATTACTGCCAATGCATTCTTCACTGTGGCACTTACATGGAATTAAATGAAAGGGGCTATATTACTTTACTACTAAGATTAAGTTCAAAAATCAGCCCCAAAATATTTGACACCTTTTCAGAAACCCTCTACTGGCTCCTCTTTCATGTGAGCAGATGCCCGATGGTGATCAGTTACCTAGGTGACTTTTTAGCCATAGAAAAGAGTGATATATATGTACAAAATGAGTGTGCATTTAATGCGAGTTCATTATATGGGTGTACAAAATGAGTGAACATTTAATGCAAGCTCATTTTATGGGTGTACAAAATGAGTGAATTTTTGGTCCATATTTGGTACAAGCTAAAACAAATACTTAACAATGTATTCAAAGTTTTGATGTCATGTTTTTATTGGGGAAATGTTTGGCTAAACTAGTAAGGTATAAAAAGTTATCTCCATCTTCTCTTAACTGGTCAAAAAGATAGATCATTAAATGTTTGCATTAATGCAATGTATTCCATATTTTACAAAAACCCCACTGTGATGAATACAGCTGGGAGATGAATCCTTTATGAACTAAATGTATCTTTTTCATTCACAATATTCAAAATCTTGCAAAGCAATTGCAATCCTACTGTTTCTGCAATACAAATGTATATGCATAATAGATTCCTGGAAAGTCCCTGTAACAGTGAGGCTTTAGATAGAGATATAAATGTGAGATGGAATAATTCTAAGGTAGTTAACATTAATATTAGGCTGTTACTGAGAAAACCACGTGGCCTATAGAAAAACAGACAATTTAATTTTTTTTTTCATTTACATTTTATTCACCTTTTTTATTACATTACCTGATACTTCAGTAAAACAGCAATTTTCAGTTGGTCTGAATGTATCACTGAACTTCCAGTAAAAATCTCCCAGTTTGTTACAGTGTGTGTGAATTTATCACAGACCTTCACAGCAATTAAGCTTAGATTTATATACAGAGTGTATGAATGTATCACACAGCTCAAAAGCAAGAAAACTCACGGTAATGTGCAGTATATGAATGTGAGCTTCTAAGCAAATTAAAATTCATAGTCATTAGCAGGTTAAGTCAGTGTATCATAGAGCTCCCTAGCAATTAATCCCACAGTAATGTGCAAAGTAGATGAGTATCATGGATCTCCACAATAAACATGTCTGTGTCCATGCGATTTTATGTGGTTGAGTGTGACTGTGTGTGGGGTTGACTGAGTGATTGTGTGTGGTCGTTTGCAGAGTGTGATTATGTGCAGGTTTGACTGAATGTGCTTCTGTGTGGGGCTAGCAGAGTGCGATTTTTTTGTGAAAGTTGTATGTGTTATAATATTGATTATTATTAATTAATTAATTAAGTAATTAATATTAATAACAGTTAGAACTCTAAGCCCAGGTCTCATTAGCAAATCTATTAGCACAATGTATAGTAAGAATGTTATGCTCCTTCAAATTTAAAATACCCATGATTGGTAACCTTTAGTTTCTTTCTAGAAACAGCCATGCTGCTTTCATGTTGTTTGTATACAGAATGAAAATAGATATGCAAAGTGTGGGGAGTTGAGCTGCCAATTCTGGTGGCTAGCTCTGCATATCACTATACTATCATTGTTTCAATAAAGTACTCCCTTCATCGTTATATGTTATGTGAAGGATGTGCAGCAATGTGTGGTTAGACCAAAGCCCAGTGCAACAACACAGCCCTGGTATATATGATGAATAGGCGTTATTGTGGAAAGGACTTCCATGCTCATAATCCAAAGAAAGCAAGATAGAAGTTCTCCAGTTACTGGGTTAATAATTGGTTCAATTCTTATGTTTATGTGGAAGGATAAAAAGGGAATACACTTGTCTGCCTTCTGGGTTCCAGTTACTCCTAAATTGCTCTATTGATAGTAACCATTCAGCTCATTACTATTTTCTAATTTAATTAATTAGGGGGACCTGCACCCCCTACCTATATTAACATGCACTTGAACTTAGTTATCTTAGCACGTCCTTGTAAATAAAATAATTCTTTACTGTACACAGCCCTAATATATAATGAGTGATGGAAACATTACATCCCCTAAGAGCCATTAGGAGAACATAAATGTTAATGTGTACTAGATAAGACTGTTGCATGCAAAGGTAATCAGGATAGGGGTAGCATTATAATCAGAACACATGAATTCAACAAGTAACGACAAACTAGGGGATTCTTTTCCCCAAAGTTTTTATTAAACCAGAGTAATTTGCAAATATATACACTCTTGTTGTCCACTTTGGTGATTAGGCAGACAAATCACTTTTAATATGCAAACGAGCTGATATTTAATCATACTTGTTAAGGCTCAGTGAGAAGCATCCAAATAAACAGCCTGTATTATAGTATTTTGCTGAAGAGGATCGAATGGGTGCCTTTTCATATAACTCCATTTGTTCTTTTGTGATTCCATGTAAATGTTTATTTCTTGATTTGAACCACTTTGCATTGATCTGAACAGATAAAAAAAAAATATAAACTGGAAGAACTGAGAGTAAATAAATAATTATTCCAGCTTTCCAACCAGTTTTGTAAGACTCATGTACACACTACTAAACAGCAGACTGTCTAACGATGGTATGTGCAGCAGACTAAAATTAGCAAACCTCTTACGTAAATTGTACTGTGCAGTTTGACATTTTAAAAACAGGAATGAAAAAGTGATGTTTTGTCAATGCAGTTCCCTGTATTATTTAGTAAGATGTTACAGTGTTATAAAGACATTGCAATTTGCTTCTACTTGAGGATTATTCTGATTAAGGTGTCACTGGGGACAGGTGGTCAAGGGAAGAATTCTACATTCATGTTACAAGACAGATGGTTTAGTTAAAAACATATCAACAGTTCTGCTCAATCCTATCTAGTTGTTTTTTTTTTGTTTACAATATTCAGAGCTAGTAATAGAATACTGTCTAATCCTGGCTATATTTCTTACAAATCAAATACGTAGTGTAAGCAACATCTCTGCATGTTTAGAAGACATTCGTATTGAGCACTGTGCTTAATTTATTGATGTCAAGAACAGCATAAACTTACCTGCAATCCCAAGTCGCTCCTTCAATGACACAAATTCCCCTTACCACCACACTCATTCCAGGCTACTAAAGATACTGCCAGAGGTGGAGTTTCCCCCACAGGCAACCAAGTTTTTTATCTCTGTATGTGCACACATTTCTTAGTGAAATTCTAGACATGCAGACTAAAAGCACCATGATCACTTCAAATCATTGAAATGGTCCTGGTCTTCGGAATAACCCTGTAATGCAAAAACAAGACATCTATCTTCTACACCCCGGTATATTTATTGTTTTTATTTGATATTCTGATATGTTGTGTCATATCATATATCAGATATGTTTTTGGTTAATTACAAATTATTGCTGATCTTTCTTCTTGTAGAAGGTAAATTTAATATTTGTAATAAAAAACATATTACCACAATAACTAACTTACTACGTCACTAGAGAATGCTGTACATTATGCAAGAGTAAATATTTGGAGTTTGTTTTCCAGTAAACTCAAATCAATGGAAACTTAGGTGCTAAAGAAGCTTATATCTGTCAATTGTAATTAGGTAAGCACAGCTAGGATCCTCCAACACACTTTTTATATTTTATTTATATGTCAAATAATGATGCCTTAACTATAATAAAAGACATATGCTGTCAGGACTCCCCCATATCGCCCTTCCGATCGACATTACCCTTATGACTTCCGGGTTTCACCGTTCTGACTCTGCCCCTGTGTCTGACATCATGGGCTTCCCTTTGAAAAGGAAGCCGCGTTCGCATCCAAGTTGCTCAATCAATTTGTGCCTCTTGCATACCTTGTTACTTTGCTGCTGATTGCCGTATGAGCTCTTCTATTTGATTACCTGTGTACCGAACCTCTCTTGCTTATCCTGACTACACTGACTTCCTCACTCCCAGACAAGGAACAGACTTCACCACAAATTCCTCCATTCCTCCATATTCTACAGGGAACCATAATCCACACTATTGTGGAAAGGACTTCCATGCTCATAATCCAAAGAAAGCAAGATAGAAGTTCTCCAGTTACTGGATTAATAATTGGTTCAATTCTTATGTTTATGTGGAAGGATAAAAAGGGAATACACTTGTCTGTCTTCTGGGTTCCAGTTACTCCTAAATTGCTCTATTGAAAGTAACCATTCAGCTCATTACTATTTTCTAATTTAAGTAATTTATTGACAGCATCTAAAGGACTGTGATATATTTTCCCAAAGCAGGATATATTTAATTTTGTGTTACTATTGAAGTCTAAAGAAGCTTATGGACATTGCTATTTAATCTAAATCAGGATCTACTTTATTTTTCACTACTGAAGTCTAACTCTGTGAAGCAATCCCAAGTGGGATCTGTAGCGGACCACGGTTTTCCCTCCCAGGATCCTCCCCCTCCCTGGGTACACAGCGCAGGAAAGGACTCTGTTCCCTTTTTCCCCTCCCAGGATCTTCCCCCTCCCTGGGTCCACAGTGTGGGAAAGGACTCTGTTCCCTTTGTCCTCATTTCCTGGCACTAAAGGTATAGGGTTTCCCACACCCGTCCCACTCCCTGTGTAAAATCCTGCAAGGGAATCGTCTCCTTTTGGGACAAGAATGCTCACCCTGGACGGCATTTGTTTATACGAAGTGGCGGCCATCCAGGGAGCATTCATTATTGCTTCCCTTGCGGTTTCACACTTAGGTTGCAAGTGAGAACATTCTGATTAATTGGTGTGAACGTTCTAATGGGGCAGTGGAGAGTTCTGGAAACAAACGAGTCGGGAAACAATCCATGAACGCTCCACCTGGCTGGCGTTCGTCTGTACGAATGGCATCCATCCAGGGGAGCGCTCATTAATTGTTTTCCTTGCGGTTTGCGGTTTGACACTTATGTTACGAGATGTGAAGGTTCTAAACTAATATTCTAAGTGAAGTATCAGAGTTGTTCCCGTTCGGGAGGTGAATGAATTCCCTTCGTGAAGGCACTCCCGAACGGGGAGTGGGCACAATATACGAAGAGGTGAGGAAACACATATAATATCAGAAAGGCAATTCACGAACAGGCAGCGGTCCCACCATAGGATCTATCTTTACTTTTGCATTATTATTTTTAATTCATATTGCTGCAGAGGATTATTAAAGTGGAAATACCCAAATTCAATAAATTATGTTTTCTTAAAGTGACAGTATCAAATGTAATCTTTCATCTGCTATTGTGTTCCAAATTAAGTATATCTTAGTATCACATACGCCAATGATCACCAGCGCATGACGCCTCTCTACTGCGACTGCATTGTAATAAGGCACAAAATGCTGTATTGCTAAATATTTAAACTATAACACAGCCATTAGGGTGCATGAAAACACAACACAACCAACTATACAAGGACACCATCTCAAGAAATATTTTATTTCTAAATCATGGGTATTAATCAGGAGTTGATATGCCATTTTCAAGAAGACTTTTTCCTATATGCTGAAATATTTCTCAATAAATTTGATTCAGCTCAGCCACAAGAGCATTAAGGAGGTAGGCATTGATATTAAGCAATTGTAAGTTTCTCCCATTTAGCATATCAATTTATCTCAAATTGTATGTGATGAGTTTGAGATCTGCGGTTTGTACAGGTCAGAACACTTTTGTATTTGCTTTCACACAAAAGTTCATCAGATCTTTGTGAGATTGGTGAGTTGTCCAAATTCCATAACTCTGAAGCACCGGCTGGAGTTTTCACAAACAAACAAACTGGACAATGGATGAGCATGTTTGTTGAAAGTAAGGGAAGAATATAGTGACTTGTAAATAAGCATTTTTTAGGTATATTTAGGTGTGTGAGCTTGAGGTAAAAAAATGCAGCCATGAAACTGTCCTGTCATAAACACAAAAATTGTAAGTGACAAATAAATCTTCACAGCTAAATGAATGACAAAACGTTATGTAACTGAGTCTTCCAGTTGTGACCATAACTCCATTGTTATATGAACATATTTTTCAGTAACTATTCATATTAATATTTTGCAGCAACTGCCCTGATTGAGGTGAGTTTTGGTAGCAAAGAAATCCTGTCAGGAACAGGCATTATTGTTAATAAAATAAATATATGCACTTTGTAAAAACATAAAACATTGTAGGATTGTTAATAAAAAGATTAAATCATGCACATTTTTGTGCTAACAGTTTTGTTGGCATGAATCAGGAGTTGGTTTTCTATAGATGCTTGATGGGGAAAAAAGACACCAGATAAAGTGAATAATAGAGTTTACTTTTGGCTACTTTTTCTCAGTTGATCTGTGAACTAAATGGCGTGACAAAAATCAGTGTACCTGAAAATACATACATAATACTTATATTTTGCAGTACAGATTGGCCCATTTTTGCTCCCAATTAGTTTTGTTTTCTAAATAATTTCTGCAAATGCATACCACACTATTGTCTAATTAACCAAACAATTCATTTTTTTCCATATGAATTGCTTCGGCAAAACCAAATATTTCTTCTGTGCACAAGTCTACAGGACAGCCAACTTCTTGCACATCAGTGTTTACAAAGATACATAATATATGTTTTAGCACTTATAAGGTGAACCAATATGCAATATGAATTATTTTCTTCGAGATAACTCCACGCTATCAAGATATTATTTACAGATGATCATGGAAACTGTATTATAAAAAATATAAAATTGCTAATAAGCATGATAGGTGGTATGGTTTGTTTTCTGACTATTCTTATTCTTAACTAATCATGTATATAGCATTTCATTTAAATTAATAAGGCAGTGGAATATAAATGAAAATGTAAATTTGTTTTTTGATTACATATTCTACTAAATAAATATTATTGAAATGGTTCAAGTCATGTTCTTGTTTTGGTTAGAGGACATCCCAGTAAGTTGTTGGTCATCAGTCACTGCAGTTCTTTTTTCCATAGCTTGTAAAACTACAAACATGTATTCCCAGAACGACAATTCATTGTACAACTTGAATATCAGCAGAACATAGAGAACAGCAAATTCTCATTTTAGTATTAGATTTCAGTGTGTAGTTGAACCAGGCGTACTGAGACAGACAATTTATATTTCTAAAAATCCAAGATGTGATTCAAGAAACTCTCTGGGGAAGATATAAGAAATGTGTTTCTGAATAGAAATTTGCAAATAGTGAAATATATGTCATTGTGGTTATTTGCTTATTCACATAACAGCATATAAAGCTCAAAGGGTACTCTAACAACAAAAAAAACTAAATATTTTCCACGGGTACAAACACTAGTGCAGCGCTCTCATTTACCCACCCTCCATCCCCCAAAAACATATACTATAGTTTGTAGTTGACATTTACAATGTTCCTTGTTTTTCCCTCTTACTAAAAGCGATACTGTAGTGCAAAGATACAAAGTTGTATTTCTAGCGCTATTGCTCCCTCTGCCCACCCCTCACTTGCACCCCCTATTCCAAAATGTAAGTGTCAAAAGGGTACCTTACTGTACTCGCCCAATTCCAGTGGCGATCTCTCACTAGAGGCAGTCTTAACCCTGCAATGTAATTATTTAACAATTAACAATGCAGGGTTAAAGGGACACCGTAGGCATTGTATCTGCTTCATCTCATTAAACTGGTTATAGTGTCTGGAGTCCCCTGGTACCATAATTTCTTTCAGCATTAAACAGTTTTTAATGTTTTTATGTTTTAATGCTAAACAAGAGTCCCCGGCAGTCCATCCCATCTGTGCAGCTTTGGCTAAAAAGGAAGTATTAGCCTGAGCAGCAATGGACATCTGTGATTGGTTGAGATTGTCAGCTGACTGCTTTCAGCCTGTCAGAGCTCCAACTGACGGTATGAATGGGTATGACAACAAGGAAGTGTGTAATCTCTGCCTTAGCTACACATACAGAAGGGGCTGGACTGTAGGTGGCCAGGGACTCTTATGTTGTGGCATACTGCACGAACATGGTACAACACTGAGTGGAGGGACAATGACAGGGCACTCCAGGCACTATAACCAATTCAAAGAGATGAAATGGTTATAGTGACTACAGTGTCCCTTTAAGGTGACAGGAACATTGCACCCAGACCACTTCAATTAAGTTGTGTAGGTACCTATACTACACATTTAAGAAAGTAAAATTGAATGGAGGTTTTCTAATCCTCCTAATAACTCAAGAGGGGCTGATAATTTGTGTCTAATGTTGAAAACGTTTTGTATGTACAGCTGTTTAAGCCTTCAATTTGTAATGAACTTTTAATTTCCTTTTAACTTCAGACAATGAATATGTTTTTTTTTTTTTTTATCAGCTTATTTGTTTTCTACCCAGATGTGAATTTACAGAGAATTGCTTTTAGTGAATTGGAGCTTTCCCCTCCAATTGATCGATCTTAGCAGACATTGCACAAATTATTCACACACTCACTGCATCTTTCTCTGTCGATAAATAAATATTCATTATAAATAAATGGACTTTATTTCACATTGCATTATAGGAGAAAGAATTGTTCATTCTGGGCATTTATTTTGATCTGCGCATTTGTACAGCTTATCCATTCCTACAATTACAGTTCAGCACTCTAATTTATAGAGACGTGCATGGACAAAAAAACAACAACTTGTTTTGGTTTGTTTCATTGCAATTTGATTATTTTCACATTTTGGATCTTCCGAGTCAGAATGAACTGAAATTCAGAAAAATTCAGAACCAAAATGAAATTTGGACACCATTATGCCAATGGAAACAAAGTTAGGGCGCCACTACCCTAATTTGATACCTTAAAAGTAGTAATACCATATAAGGGTAACAAGTTAGGGAGCTATCTATTAAGCATGTGAAACAGCAAATTTAAGAAATAGGGGTGTTTTAATTTTTTGCACTTTCAGATTTGTAGTTGATTGCTCTCTAATTTGGTATTCTACCCTTACATGGGATTGCCATAATTAAAGGTACCACATTAGGGGGCTGTTAGCTCCCTAATTTGGTATAGTAAAATGGCATAAGGTTACCAAATTAGTAAGCTATCTATTAAACCATTGAAAGAGCAACGCTAAGAAATTGTATTTTCTTAATTCAGCTCTTTCAGCTGTTAAAAAAGGTAGCTCCCTAATTTGCTATACTGTGTATATCACATTGTAGCGGATGGCACCAGGCGACCCTACAAATATACTGTATATACCTGCATTCGTGTATCTGCTGTATTTTCTATGTATTAAAAAGAATTGTATTCCTCTGATTGTTCGGTAGTTTCATTCCCTTAGTTTATTCGAATGAAACTACCGAACAACCAGACCTCCCCTGTGTGAAGTGTGTCCTCAATTACCCGTTGCAACATTGTTGCGAACGGGTAATTGAATAGTAAGTAGCCGTCCTTTGTTCTCGGGGGTGGCCGCCATTCGACAAACGAACACGTGGCGGCGGCCATTTTAAAACTCCCGAACAGCGGTGTTTTGCCGTCGAGTGTCTGGAACTAAAATCGGACACTCGAGTAGGCGAACACCGCTGAGACCTCCACAAGCCCTGGTCCGTTCGGTTCCAAACTACCGAACGGCCCCTCGTTCGGTAGATAGAAAATACCGAACGAGGGGATTCAGGCGAACCCTCCCTAGTCTCTATAGCTAGAGGCTTTCGTGTATTTTGTTCCCTTATGCCAGGACCGACTGCAGGGCCCATTCACATGGAACCTCATTCGGCTGTCTCAGTTAGTGCGGTCGGTCATTTTATTCCCTCCATACATTTCCCGAACCCCTGGTCTGATCTGGGTGATTTTTGGATATGTTGTTCACCCAGATCAGGGCTATCCAGGGATGTAGGATTTAAAGAGGTACCCCTACGTTTAGGGGTACATCCAGAAACGGGGGGAATTGGTGTGCTGGATAAGGGGATTATGATGCTGGCTGAGGGGAGGAGGTGTGTGGGAGGTTACCAGGACAGGATTGGCTACTGTAATAATTACTGTAAATCCCTCCCTTGCATGGGAGCATGCTTTATAAGGAGACTGTGATTAAAGGCTTGTCAGTTATGCTCCTGAAACTGTGTGTCATCCAGTTATTGGGATTGCTGTTGGGATAAGGCTGTATTTTACCTGCTGGAAGCCTTGCCTGTGGATTTACTATTTACTTGTTCCTGAGCCTCACTTGGATTACAAGCGGAGATATCCTGGGTAATATTGCATCTCCGCTACATTGGTTGGCAGCGCTGGGATCCAGACTCACAGAGGAACAAGCCTAAATGGAGTACGGATGGAGATTGATTTTGCCACACTAAAACGCTCCATGCTAAAAGACCTTCTGGAGGCAAGGGGTATACAAGCCAGCAATAAGACAAAAGCGGTACTCGTTACTGAACTGATGGCGGAGTACCGAATGGACGGCGATTTGGTTCCCGAACAGGGGAATTCGGGAGAGACACCGGAACAAAGGGAGTTCCAGAGGCAGGTACAATTTCGGCTGTCTTTCTATGGGGAACACCCTCCAACAGAGATTGTGTCAAAAACGATGACGGAGGTCCAGGAATTTATACTGAGGAGTCAAACTGCGGCCCCAGAACGCAGCTCTACAGTAAATATGCCACAGGAAGGTAAGCCTAAAATACCGTACCAGGCTTTTAAAACATATGTGGAGGCAGAGGAAGATATAGACGCTTTCCTGCAAGATTTTGAGAGACTGTGTGCACTGCATAGAATCAGCGCAGAGGACTGGGTACCTATTTTGGCAGGGAGGTTAACTGGGAGGGCAGCTGAGGCATACCGTACTGTACCTAATGAAGAAATACGGAATTACAATAAAGTGAAAGAAATTATATTGGCCAGGTATGCTATAACACCAGAAGCATACCGGCGGAGATTCAGGGATTTAAAGAAGGTAGAGAAAGACTCACACGCAGAGTGGGCATGCAGACTACAACGAGCAGTCTTGGGGTGGGTGCAAGCGAGCAAGGCACGGTCTATGGAGGATGTATTGCAAATGGTACTGCTGGAGCAATTTTATGAAGGAGCAACCAGCGAGGTACAGGAGTGGGTAAGAGACAGAAACCCTACCTCCCTTACCGAAGCAGCCAGGAAGGCAGACGAGTACCTGGATGCACGCAGGCAGCAAAAACCGGCAGTTCCAAAAGTACCTTTTAAAACCTTTGGGGGGAACAACTACATGCCAGCTCTACCAAGACCACTGCCACCACCCCCACCACCCGCTGCACAGCCACGTTTCCGCCAGCCCACGTCGGGCCCGTGCCACCACTGCCAGAAATGGGGACACTATAAAAGGGAATGCCCCCAGCTGCGGGACCGTTCCACCTGGATTCGCCCCGGCCCACCACCACCACCGAGAGCAGCCGCAGCCCACCACTACCAGGACATCGTGGCCACACCGTATGGTTCAGCAGTTCCCATCACAACGGTAGAACAGTGGGAGGTACTGCACGAGGCGGATCCAGTCCAGGCTAATGCTGACAACCGCCAGCATCACAGGCAGACCGTGTATCTGGAGGGTAAAGCGGTTCAGGGGCTACGTGACTCAGGAGCCACCATCACCCTGGTAAAAAGTCATCTAGTCTCAGACCAGGCTAAACTAAATAAGACTGTGGCCGTCAGGGTAGCCGGGGGAGCAGTATACCGGCTACCTACAGCAAGGGTACATTTGCATTGGGGAGCGGGGGCAGGGCATGTGGAGGTGGGGTTGATGCCGCAGTTACCGGCGGAGGTTTTGTTGGGGAACGATCTGGGGAGGCTCACATCTGCTTTTGAGCCCCAGACACCCACCACAGGAGAAGCTCACCCTGTAGTTACGCGACAACAGGCCCGCACCCAGGACTACAACACACTCCCGGAGGTTCAGGTAAGAGATCCTTCCCCTTCCCTTGACTGTGTGCCCTGGGCCCCTCCTAACGAATTTGCAGCTGAAGTAGTGACTGACCCCACCTTGCAGGTTTATAGGGACAAGGTGACAGCAGACACTCCTGGGGGGGAGAGCGAAAGGTTTATTTGGGACAAACAGCTGCTATATCGGGAGACGGATAAGAAGGTATCCGGGTCAGACCCGATTGTGATGAGGCAGTTAGTGGTACCTCAGCGGTACCGGGCGGAGTTACTACGGATAGCACATGACATTCCGCTATCTGGACATTTAGGGGTCAGCAGGACCCGATACAGGTTAACCCAAAGTTTCTTTTGGCCGGGGATTAGCCAGGAGGTGCGCAGATATTGCAACACGTGCGATACCTGTCAAAGGGTGGGGAAAAGGGGGGACCGGCGCAAGGCCAAGTTACATCCCCTTCCCATAATCGAGGAACCCTTTAGCAGGGTAGCAGTTGACCTAATAGGACCCCTCAACAAAGCAAGCCCGTCAGGTAAAAGATTTATCCTGACAGTAGTAGATTATGCCACTAGATATCCAGAGGCGGTGGCCCTGACGAATATACAGGCGGAGACAGTAGCAGAAGCCCTGATGAAGATATTCTCCCGGGTGGGACTCCCCAGGGAGATTGTCTCCGATCAGGGCACCCAATTCACCGCCGAAGTCACGCAGCGCCTCTGGAAGTTTTGTGACATTAAGCCGGTCATTAGTTCCCCTTACCACCCCCAGACGAATGGGCTCTGCGAACGTTTCAACGGTACATTGAAACAAATGCTCCGAACCTTTGCAGAGACCCACAAGGACTGGGAGAAGTTCCTGCCCCACCTCCTCTTTGCTTATAGGGAGGTGCCGCAGGAATCCACTGGGTTTTCCCCATTTGAACTATTGTTTGGCCGCAGGGTACGAGGGCCTTTAGATTTGATCAGAGAGCATTGGGAGGGAGAATGGAGCACTGACGGTACCCCCATCATACCATATGTGTTGGCATTCCGAGACCGCCTTGAGGCCTTAACTCAGACGGTACGCGAGAATTTGCAGGCGGCTCAGACACGCCAGCGCACATGGTATGATCGGGGCACCAGGGACCGTAGCTTTCAGGTCGGGCAGAAGGTGTTGATCTTAAAACCCGTCCGACACGATAAGCTGCAGGCCGCCTGGGAGGGCCCTTATAAGGTGGTAGAACAACGGTGTGACACCACTTATATAATCGTCTCGTGCGTTGGTACTGGGGGGCGACGCATGCTCCATGTAAACATGATGAAGCCCTACCAGGAGCGCTCTGAGGAAGTGACCGCTATATGTGCGCCTAACTCCGAGGAGTTTGACAGTTTACCTCTCCCGGATCTGCTGGGAGAGGGTCAGTTATCCGGGGACTTAGGGGAGGTCATGCCGTTTGGGATGAAAAACGCCCCGGCTACTTTTCAGCGGATGGTGGACCGCCTCCTGGATGGGTTCCAGGAGTATACCTGCGCATACCTCGATGATATTGCCATTTTCAGCAATACCTGGCAGGAACACCTGACCCATATAGGAGCGGTCCTAGACAGGATTAGGGCCGCTGGTTTAACACTGAAACCAGCCAAATGCAGCATAGGTATGGCTGAAGTACAGTACCTAGGTCATCGGGTAGGATGCGGCAAGCAAAAGCCGGAACCAGCCAAAGTAGAGGCTGTAGCTCAATGGCCTACCCCTAGGACTAAGACTCAGGTGTTAGCGTTCCTAGGAACGGCCGGATACTACCGGAAATTTGTCCCGAATTACAGTGCCCTGGCCAAACCTCTCACCGACTTGACCCGTAAAAACCTACCCCGCCAAGTAACCTGGACCCCGGAGTGTGAACAGGCATTTCAGTTGTTGAAAGATGCATTGACAAATGCCCCTGTCTTGGCAGCTCCCAATCCAACTAAACGTTTTCTTGTCCACACAGACGCTTCTATGTTTGGATTGGGAGCAGTATTGAGCCAAGTCGGGGCCGATGGCGGAGAACATCCCGTGGCTTACATCAGCCGGAAACTGTTACCTCGAGAAGTAAGCTACGCCGCCATCGAGAAAGAATGCCTGGCTGTGGTGTGGGCCCTGAAGAAATTACAGCCATATTTGTACGGACAAGCTTTTTCCCTGCTCACGGATCACAACCCGTTAGTATGGCTAAACCGGGTGGCTGGGGACAATGCCCGGCTGCTGCGCTGGAGTCTGGCGCTGCAGCCCTTTGACTTTAATATCCAGTACCGCCCGGGTAAACAGAATGGAAATGCTGATGGGTTGTCTCGACAAACTGACCTAGAGAAATGATCCATGAGCCTCCCCGGACATCCCCAAGCCGATCCGTGTTGGATCAGACTGTGTATGCCGGCTTGTGGGCAAGGGGGAGCAGTGTAGCGGATGGCACCAGGCGACCCTACAAATATACTGTATATACCTGCATTCGTGTATCTGCTGTATTTTCTATGTATTAAAAAGAATTGTATTCCTCTGATTGTTCGGTAGTTTCATTCCCTTAGTTTATTCGAATGAAACTACCGAACAACCAGACCTCCCCTGTGTGAAGTGTGTCCTCAATTACCCGTTGCAACATTGTTGCGAACGGGTAATTGAACAGTAAGTAGCCGTCCTTTGTTCTCGGGGGTGGCCGCCATTCGACAAACGAACACGTGGCGGCGGCCATTTTAAAACTCCCGAACAGCGGTGTTTTGCGCCGGTGTCTGGAACTAAAAATCGGACAAACTACCCGAGCGGCCCTCGTTGCGGTCAGATAGAAAATACCGAACGAGGGGATTCAGGCGAACCCTCCCTAGCCTCTATAGCTAGAGGCTTTCGTGTATTTTGTTCCCTTATGCCAGGACCGACCGCAGGGCCCATTCGCATGGAACCTTATTCGGCTATATATCAGTTAGTGCGGTCGGTCATTTTATTCCCTCCATACATTTCCCGAACCCCTGGTCTGATCTGGGTGATTTTTGGATATGTTGTTCACCCAGATCAGGGGTATCCGGGGATGTAGGATTTAAAGAGGTACCCCTACGTTTAGGGGTACATCCAGAAACGGGGGGAATTGGTGTGCTGGATAAGGGGATTATGATGCTGGCTGAGGGGAGGAGATGTGTGGGAGGTTACCAGGACAGGATTGGCTACTGTAATAATTACTGTAAATCCCTCCCTTGCATGGGAGCATGCTTTATAAGGAGACTGTGATTAAAGGCTTGTCAGTTATGCTCCTGAAACTGTGTGTCGTCCAGTTATTGGGATTGCTGTTGGGATATGGCTGTATTTTACCTGCTGGAAGCCTTGCCTGTGGATTTACTATTTACTTGTTCCTGAGCCTCACTTGGATTACAAGCGGAGATATCCTGGGTAATATTGCATCTCCGCTACACACATACATTCTATATGTTCAATGTGTTTATCAGATACATTCTATGCAGGTGCAGAACCTACATTCACTGTTTTTGTGTAGCCTGTTTTTGCACTTTTTTTAGTGCTATAATATTCTTCATATGAACAGGTTCTAAAAATTGCTTGGCACAGTTAAAGTGTGGTCTTACCATTGAATTATAAAGAGGCACAATTGCATACTTATCCTTAATGCCCCTATTTAGGCATGACAATACCTTACTGGCCTTATCCACTGCTGATTGACATTGCTTGTTTTGTCTAGTTTGTTGTCTATAACAATTCCGAGTTCCTTCCCATGTGCTGTTACCACAAATTCACTACCGTTTAGGCTTCCCCAAACTCTGGCCCTCCAGATGTTGCTGAACTACAACTCCTATGATTCTCAGCCTATTTCATTCATAGAATCATGGGAGTTGTAGTTCAGCAACATCTGGAGGGTCGGAGTTTGTGGAAGCCTGATTTAGGGTGTAAGTTGCTTGTGCATTCTTTACTTGGTAGTGCGTTCTATTTATCCACTTTAATGTGATCCATGCCATTTGAGTGCCCAGTCCACTAATCTCTCTAAAACCTGCTGCAATAAAGTAATATCCTGCTTACATTGTATTACCTCATCTAATTTTGTATCATCTGTAAACACTGAAACAAAATTTTCAGTTCTCATTTCAAGTTAATTTATAAATTTGTTACATAGAAGCGGTCCCAGAACAGAACCCTTACCACTTTTTTTCAGTTTGAAAATGTACCATTAATGACTACTCTCTGTGCTCTATCTTTAAGCCAAGAACAATAATTTTTATCTAGATCATTTTCTTTTAGTTTGGAAACTTACCTATTGTGTGGAACTGTATAAAACGCCATGACAAAATCCATGTAGATCACTTCCATTGCATCACCCTGATCTATACGTCTACCTGCTTCTTCGCAGAATGCAATTAAGTTAGTTTGACACGGCCTGTATTTAATAACACCTTGCTGATTTTTGCTAATGACAATGTTCTACCCAAATAATTTCTGAAAACTACCCCTTAATAACCTTTTAAATACTATCCCAGCCACAGATGTTAAGCTCACCATTGACCTTTACCACTTCCACTGGAAGGCTGTTCCCTGTATCTACTAACCTTTCTATATTATTATTATTATTATTATTATTATTTATAAAGCACCAACAAAATGCAGTGGTGAATCTTAAGAAAAAAATGCCCTTTTATTAATTTAGCTGTTTCAGCTGCTTAGCACATAAGTCCCTTATTTGGTACCCTTAATTATAGCAATCCCACGTAAGAATATCAAATTAAGGAGCTATTGACTAAACAGTTGATAGAGTAAAAGTAAGACTAATTTAAAAAAAGGTTTTCTTTAACTTAGATTAGCCTCTAATTTGTTATCCTTATGAAAACAAATGGATCTGAAAAATTTAGTGTTCAGTTTGTTTAGTTGCGTAAAGAATTCGGAAATTCGTGATCAATGACTTAGAATCAGTTTTGTATGTTATGGAGAAAATGTATCAAGACAAGTCAGTTCTATTTCAGATGCTACGTACTGTAAGATATTCTATTGGTTTGCATGGTAATTGCTATTTATTTTGCTTTTTGCCCCAAAACAGCACCTCTTTTGCCTTACTATATCTCCCCGTGTGCTTTATCATTCTATTAAAATGTATGCTAATTAGTGGCTTTGTCACTCCACCCCCTTTAAAATTGGTATTTCATAAAGCTTCCCTTAACAGCTTTGTCTATGGAAGATCTTGCGGGATATGTTGTACTCTTGTGCATGAGCTACATGGACTACAGCACCAGGAGATGAAGATGGCTGAGGAAGAACATGGGAGTGGCCATGAGGGTTCAGGTAAATAAAACTCTACTTCCCATGCACCCTACGGCCACCAGACACCCAGCAGAGCAACCACCATTGGGGGTCTTTGCAAAATATGCAAAAATATCGAACAGTGACAGAGCTGCTTTAAATAGGTGTCTTTACAGATGCCTTAATTCACTTTTTCCTTTTTCATACATTTTTCTCATATATGTTGGAATGAACTCTGCAAGTAAATGAGAATAACAGTATTATAATATATCATAAAATACAATCAGAAAGGAAAAGTGTGTTGCATTTGAAACACATAGCTCATTAAAAAAATGTTAATAGTTCTGCTTAAAAACTAAATTGATTATTTGAATTTACTCCCAATAATATGCATCACTACTATTTTAAAGTCTTTTATATTCTATATCTTGACTGACAAACATTACTTTACATTTTTTTTAAATGTTTCTTATGGAAATCTAAGAAATGTGGTCAAAGAAGAGTTAAAAGGATGCTATTCAAAAAGTGTATCTTTTGGGATTTTCTCTTGAATGCAGGTGTAGATTCAGTAAGATATCTCTTGGCTTATTTTTAATGCATTCAAGCATGGTCTAAAATAAAAGTAAGAGATAAAAGAAAGTGTTATTGAACGTTATCACTAGGACATCTTGTGATGATAGATGTGGTTTTCTCAGAACTCTCCTGTGCTAAAATGCAATCTAACATCTTAAAAGTAAAAGCTGGGAACAAACATTTAGCTTTACTTAAAGCAGTTCATTCATGGGAACTGAATTTCCCTTCATACATTGTGCTCTGCTGATTTTTAGATTCATCCCCACCAAAGGCATGCAAGACTTCAAATGTTACAATAAATGTACAAACCTCCATGGTGGCATATATTAGAAGTCAAAGAAGAACTATTTCAATTTTATACTATACCATTGGAGCATATGAGCTTTGTCAAACAGTAAGCAAGCATCAGTGCAAAATCTATGTCTGCCAACTAAATTAGCTCCAACATTTTGATTATGTGAATAAATGTCCCTTATCCTTGTTTCATTTAGTATTGTGAGGATGTCAGCATGACCACAAATATGATTTTGCCGTTCCTGACCTTAGCTCATGACACCAATTCATGAATGCCTGCAATTTTCTTCCTTTGTATGTTTTAAGGCATTGAGTCATTTTTGACTCAAATGTGAATTTTTCATGCAAGCAAAACTTGCAGGAATTTTCAATTGAATTATTCGTTAAAATGCAATTAACAGGAAAGAGCCAACAGTAATGAGACAGCAATTTAATAATATTACCTGTTCTTAGTGATGCCATTAACATTATACCCTCTGGATTTCCAAAGTTTTGATTTTTTTTCACATAATAAAAATTCTGTTTATACATTGTGTTTTTTTCTTCCCCTTATAATGTATCTGGTTTTAGCATAGTTGGTGTATAAATCTCGTTATTTTGAATAAATGTATTTTAGTTGCCTACCTTGATTGAAATATGCCTCATAGAAATGTTCACTGAGAAAAAAATTTGTTTTGGCTGAACCACTTCATCCAATAATGAAAAAATGTTTGCGATGACAGAATTTCGCCCATATGGCAATTCGGCTTATCTGAATTTTGTTAATAAAGAAAAGATTCAGAAAACACATCAGATAAACCAAAACAGTGTGAAAATGGGCAAATCAAAGTACTGCAAAATATATACTTAATATAAATATTATGTTATCGTTCCTCCAAGTTTGGTAAGACATGAAGTCAGACCAGGCCCACAGACTTAATAACTTGTTTATTGATCTTATATAAAACTGTGATCAACAGTAAGATTTCAACAACATAATGTCTCATCAGAGGGCAGTACTCACGGTAGTATAAATATATTTATATATAGTTACATGTTTACAAAACATAACAATATGAATACATTTTATTGGCTATACAGTTTTGCAACATCAAGCTAAACACCCAAATTTCACATTAAATTTACAATGTAAAAGTGATGATAGGAACCGCATTCAGTCCCAGCAGCCACCGGTGCTCTGGAGCAGGACCAGAAATCTCACAACGATAAGGCAACACAAGAAATTCTCCAGGCACTCAAAGTGTTCAAACAGGTGTTCAAACAGTTAAAACTGCCTGCGGTCTGAACACCTTGAGTGCCTCGAGAATTTCTTGTGTTGCCTTAAATTTACAATGGACAGGTCCGATAATCTAATCAATTTAACCACAAAACCTCATATCGCCGTCATCCTTTAGACATGCACTTCTTCAGACTCTCCCTTCCTTGTTACAGTTCACCTACCCTAAATAATAAAAGTAAAGTTCATCAGGTAATATAGCCTATATATAGAAAGTAGTGGTGGAGGACTTATTAACATCAACAATGACACTCCAGCGTAAAGAAACACAATCATGAGCACCATGAGAAGAAATCTATATAGGATACATTGCTTAAACGTTTGCTTGGAAAATACCATCTTGGTCGAAACATTGCTGACTTCTGGGGTTCATTAAATTTTGCCTTTTTGATACCTTGGAGTGCCTGGACCTTTTTTTCTTGTATCTACTGTATTTGGGACATGGTGCAAGTTCCTGGTTTGGGTGCACCATGGATCCTATCTTTGGATGAGTGCAGTTCTGGATTTGGTTTTGCAGAGACTGCATTCTAGTAAGCTCCCTGATTTCCCCTTGATACTCAAAGATTATATAAGGCCATGCGATTTAGTTATTTTAATTTGAGTTGCTCAGCAGAGAATTGCAATATGGTATCACCAATATAACTAAAAGCTTCATCTAGCAAACTCACAAACAAGTTAAGATTATTTATAAATTCTATTACACTCCATGTAGGAACAAATCCTGCTAAGGCTTTGGCATTACTCCTAGGTTTTACTGTTTTCTTAGTACCATTAGTGCATACGTTTCATTTTGGGAATTATAGCAGTTTGATTGTTCAAATTTCCTCACAAAGGCCTTCCATTTGTGAAAGTAGACACTCCATGGTATCTCATAAGTCGTACATTGTGCCTTAAAGAGTGGCCATTGTGTTTACCAGTTTATGTCAAAGTTTGTGGTAAAAATGTTTATTTTGTTTATTTTTTTTAGCATATTTTTACATACACACTACATTTTTTTTATATTTTGCATCGTTTTATTTTCTCATGTTTTTGATATGCACATTGCAATTTAGCCATTTCATTTGCAAACTTAAAATATGTGCTACTGTAGTGAAAATCACTTATTTGTGCTCAACTATATCTCTTGAGTATAGCATGACCCCTTCACATACCCTTGTCATGTTTCTGGAAAACAAATACAGGCCTGAATTTATAACCTGTGCAATGCTGTTTTTTAAACAAAAAATGGCAAATTGATTTTGTGCATTTTGGGGAGTTTTAGTAGTTCCCATTTTTAATTTACTTAATATATACATACCATTTGCAAATGTGGTCACCTTGGGGGCTCTTACATGATATATTATGAGCTTTATTGGGGTTCTATTTTCACAATTTTCTTTTCAAAGTTTGGGATATTCACTTTTATTTTTAAATTTTTACATAAGCATTTACATCTCATGGGTACTACTGTAATAACATTATCTTTACTGTATTCAGCACCATTTTCTGAATACGACAATATCTCATATGTATAACTTTGCAAAGTAACAATTAATCCTATCCCTAATTCTAAACCAAACCTTAATTTTAAACCAAATGAAATTCCATTTATAATCTAATCCTAATTATAAATATCACCCCAATCTTAACTCATACCATAATTCAATGTCTAACCTTATTCTTAATCCTACCTAACACTAGCAGTAGAGTTAGAATGCTGTCAGTATAGGAATTCCCTTGTTGATTTCAGCAGAAAGATTATTTTGGTGGTTTCAATTCAAAGCCTAATCTGAAACCTAATCCAAGTTTTAAAATTAATTCTAATCTTAATCCTAAACATAAACCTAATACTAAGCAGAATACTTTTCACAAAATCTATGCTTTATCTTTATTTTAATCCCTAATCCAAACCTAATTCTAATACCTATGCAAAGGGAAATCTAAGATAAAGAAGTAGTGTAGCGGAACCCCTGTACTCAGTTTGAGCATCTCAACTAGCTTCCCTCCTTTGTCCCACAGAATACCCAGAGAGATCATAACAGATCACCCAAGCATCTGTCAAGACTTGATAAAGGGTGAAACAAGTGTACTTTATTGGGAAAACATGCACATATTTATTTGGTCAAAATGTCTTCACCCTGCAGGGGGTTATTAACAATACCAAAGAATGAAGCCTCCTTGGCGCTTCCAAGTCTGCTGAATCCCTTTCAGCTAAGGCACTCTGAGAATGGGTCTTCTGCCCTGCCCCATAGTGTCCCCATAAACTATGGTATCCCCTGATAACTCATGCTCTCAATTACCCTCAGTCCAAATAGTGCACTAATTGTCCATATGGTGTTTAATCACCACCCAATTGAATATTTTGAAGGCCATGACTAAGTTCATAACTGGTATACAATTGCCTATGGCTGTGTTGAACTTCTGTGTCTCTTTTTAGTTTCTACCATGGTGCTATCACAACTGGTTGTCTGGCATCCTAGGAGCTCAAATAGCCTCCAATCGCTAGGTGGGAGGGGCCCACAGGATGGTGAAAATAGCACTTTTGGTCCAGGGCTTTCTGTAACAACAATTATGTCACCTCCAATTACTAGCTATGATTGATGCTGGGTGTCACGAACGCAGCCTACTTCAAGAGTGTGCGTGACGTAGTTGTGGTGGTGAAAGGGTTAAAGCTTCCTATTTGTCTGCACTAGACCAGAAATAATTATAAAATCCCCCTTAACACCATCCACACTTAGGCATAATATAACTATTACTATTTTAACGCTGCCACGACCAAGACAGTTTATAAATGGGATGCCTTGGTCCCCCAGGTAACTTAATAATAAAACCCACCAAATGTAACTTAGCACAATATCTATGTAATTGCAAAATACTAATTAGTCTCTTCAGGTAACTTGATTCTTTACCAGACAAAGGCAGAACTTAGTAAAGGACTATTTATTATAAGCAAAAAATAGTCACAGTGAATACAAAAAATAGATGATAAACAAATTATTTACACAAACAAAAGAAAAAAACTAAAGGGATAAAATAACAGAAGTCCTAATCACTTACTCGGCTCTTCAAAGTAAAACTTTTGCCCCAGGGGGTCTCTGGTAAGAAAGATGGTGACTAACTTGGAATTAGATTCTGGCTCCTCAAGCAAGTACAATGCACACTCCAGCATCATTACAGATATACCCTGTGGATTATCAAGCTTCGCCCAGAGATGGTTACAAGGCGTACCTATAGTAACTATAAGTGGCAACCCCCTTGTGTTCCAGACCAACATCAATCCAAATAGAAACATTTGGTTCTATCTCCTCTTATGTACTTGCCACAGAAATAATAATTGCATCTATGAATTGGTTACCATTTTTCCATTGCATAGATATATTACACTTCTTACTTGTGACCCAATATAGCAGACATCCTAATCCCTTCCCATATGGTTATGTAAATATTGTTTGGGCTTGATTAGAAGATTGTGCTGGTCACATTCCAAATATAATAAAAATGAGGCTTAATTATTATCCTCTGGGTAAATTTTAATGTTTATTTCATGTGGATATGATACTGGAACACAAGGCTTGTTTTTCCTCTTTTCTTGAAAGCTAATGATCATTAACATTTTAGAGAAATCCACTCATCAATTAAAAGGCAGAGACCATATGGCTGAAGTTTACACTGAAACTAAACTTCCAGGCCACTTATGGGTGACTTCTCACACCTTACAGAGCTTTTGATTAATCAAAGGATCAATGATATGGTAAACCATCTGCTCCCTTTCACATTCCTATTCAATTCACACTACCTCTCTGTCATGTGATCTTTACCAAGTGGTCAGTTCATATATGCACTACACAAATTACATAAATATTCTATTGTGCAACAATGAATTATGCACCCTCGGGGTAACATTGGGCAACTGACAAAGCCCAGCACTGATTACAATGGTATTAAGCCATGGCATTGAGTTTCGGGTGACGCTGGACATCCTCAAGCATAGGGTGAGGGCATCCATCGTCAGTTAGGCAACCAAAAGTTTCCAAATGACTCAGAAGTCCCTCTAGTGGCTGTCTGGCAGACAGCCACTAGAGTTGGAGTTAACCCTGGATAGTAATGGTTCCAGTTTCTCTAATAACTGCAATAATTAATATATAATAAGGAACCTGGAAATAGGCACCCAGACCACTTCAATGAGCTGAAGTGATCTGTGTCCCTTTAAACAATGCCTGCCTAAAACACACCAACACATTGTCACAGTTGCATTTTGCACATACGCTTCATCCTGTTCAACAGCTCATACATTTTTACCTACTGCAGTATTTATTACATCATACCATATTTCGTTAAGGTATACCATTATGTCAACAATTCATATTTCGTTTAAAACTTAAATTTATTTTTATTCTCTTAACCCCTTAAGGATGGCAGGCGTTTTATGCCGTCCCTTTTGGGGTGGTCCTAAACGCCTGCATGCGGCAAAGAACGTCCCCGTCGTCGCCCCCTCTGCCTGAACTCTCGGGCCGTCCCCCTAATGCCTGCAAAAAAGTTTATAAAGTTTATAAAAATTATTAAACCGTTTTTAAATAAAATAAAAAGTACTTATATCATATATATATGTGTGTGTGTATATGTATATATGTATGTATATATATATATATATATATATAATGATCTAAATACTTTTATATATACATACATCATTAATAAAAGTGTATTTTAATGTTTATATATATATACATTAAAATACACTTAGAATGAAGTTAATTGTATATATACATATATATATATATATATATATGTATATATATATATATATAATTATTAATTATTTGTTATAACTGTATTTACATATATATTTAAATTCTACAAATATATTTATATAATATTTTTACATTATTAAGTAATTTTATTAATTACAATCTGAGGGACCTGCCCGACAACCCAGGCAGAAAGTTATATTTGACTCAGTAACTTTTGAAAACACCATAAAACCTGCAAATGGGGGATACTGTTTTACTCGGAAGACTTAGCTGAATACAAATATTAGTGTTTAAAAACAGTAAAACGTATCACAACGTTGATATCGTCAGTAAAAATGCAGTTTTTTTAATTTTTCACACACACACACACTGTACTTTCACTGACGATATAATTATTGTGATATGTTTAATGTTTTTAAAAACTAATATTTGTGTTCAGCGAAGTCTCCCAAGTATAACAGTAGCCCCCATGTACAGGTTTGATGGTGTTTTCAAAAGTTACTGAGTCAAATATAAGGCTTAAATTTTCCTTTTTTTTGCCAGATTGGTTATGTTGCCTTTGAGACCATATGGTAGCTCAGGAATGAGAATTACCCCCATGGTGGCATACCATTTGCAAAAGTAGACACCCCAAGGTATAGCAAATGGGGTATGTCCAGTCATTTTTGGTAACCACTTATTCACAAACACTGGCCAAAATTGGCGTTCAAATTAGTTTTTTGCATTTTTCACATACAAATATTAACGCTAATTTTGGCCAGCATTTGTGACTAAGATGCTACTAAAAAAGACTGGACATTCCTCATTTGCAATACCTTGGGTTGTATACTATTGCAAATGGTATACCATCATGGGGGTAATTCTCATTCCTGGGCTACCATATTGTCTAAAAGGCATCGTAACCAATCTGGCGAATTGCAATGTGAAAAAACTGAAAAATGTAACATGCTATATTTGACCCTGTAACTTCCCAAAACACCATAAAACCTGTACATAGGGGGTACTGTTTTACACGTGAGACATCGCTGAATACAAATATGTGTATTTTATTGCAGTAAAAGCAAACAGTATTATGACATTCACAGTTAAAATGTCATGCAGAACTAAACATTTTTTTTTCTTAATTTCTCACATTTTTTTTTATATTTTATTCATATTAATTTATGTTTCATAGCTAAATATTTTGATGTTACATGAAAGCCCTATTTCTCCTGAATAAAATGATATATAATAAGTATGGGTGCACTTAATATGAAAGAGGTGAATTACAGTTGAAAAAAAATATAGTCAAATTCCAAGTTTTGTTTACGTTTTATTTTGATCAAAACGTGTACATTTGACACAGTCCTTAAGGGGTTAATGCAAGATAAAAAAGATAAATATTATGTGTACTGATTATAAAAATAAAATCTGCCACTTTCTATTTTTTTTTTATATATATATATATATACATATATATAATAAACTAATTTTGGCAACTCAAAATTGTCATTGCAAAAATGACTGATATTGAGTAGCCATTATATCAGGTGATATTGTAGCCATTTATGCATATCAGCCCAGTCATATACATCTTTTTCCTGTTTTTTTAGCTGCCTGAATTGCTCAGGCAAATTTTTCGGAACAGAAATTCTGCCGAGCAGAACAGCGTCATGGACTAAATTTGTTTTGTTTTTTTGTTTGAAAAAATATTTTAGATTATACTTTAGAAAATCAACCATGCATTTTGTCTTCTGTATTCTTAACTAAACATGCATGCATTGTAAGGCTATTGCAGTCTTGATTCTTATTATTGCATGCAGTAATCATTTAAGAAGGAGAAAAACTAATAAGGAAATCCAGAAGAGCATAAAATTGCTACATAATATAATATTACATTTAGATTGTGTAGAACATTAATAGCCATGGGTAATGAAGCGAATATAGAGTTAAAGTGAAGAGATAAATGGATCAAGCTGATGGTATTTTGTGTTTTAATCAGGCCCATGGTTTGAATAATATGCTGCTTCTTTAGAAACTCACATTCAGTCAACGAGCACCTGATAGTTTTACAGATTCAGAGAATAATCCCCTCCGGGCACTTTAATATTTGCTAAGTGCTTTTGTTCTCCGACTTTCTGAAGCATTTACAATGAACGAAGTAGAGAGGAAAAATACTCTAAGGGTTAGAAGACAATGTTGTAGATAGATGAATACCATCTTGACATACTTTTTTTTTTAAACCAACGGATTTTTATTTTTGGCCCTTTTCCCAAGCACAATTATGTAACATTTTTAGAATACTATGAATTCTGTTTTTGTCTTTTGACTGTGGTTTTCCAAAACGAGCTGCAATCTGTCTGTATGTTGCCCTGCATTTTTAATTTATTGATATGTTAGAATCCCAACGAAGACTGCTCATTTGAGAAAAGAAGCAGCTTAGATTTGCTCACTAAATAACTACTATCTTGTTTGTCATCAGTACAATAGTGTACAGATAAAAATGTAACATAAAACAATACTGAAATGATTTACTTTTGTCTGCTGGGTTAGTTAAGCACAACACAGCTGACAAAGTCAGTGCCAGAAATCCTCCGAAAACAAAAAAGAATTTGTATAAAAACATGGCCTTTTGAACCCTGTAAGTATAACTGAAAAGCTATGTTGCCTTTATTGCTATTTTTGTAACCTAACTTGTCCAGTGTCCAGTTAGATTTTGTTTAGTTTTTTTGCCCCCCCCACTTCTTACAGTGTTATATATTTTAAGCATATATATGATTTTTTTTTTATCTTTCCACATACATGGCCTGTATTTTTTACTGCATTACTAAACATTTACTGAATTCAGAATTTATTTATTGAAAACTCATTTCCTTGTTGGATTTACTTGAAGTATGGTTCACCTATTTCTTACCTTTTACAATTGTGGTTATCGTTGAATTACAGAACCGGCACCAAAGAATCAAACTTAACATGGAAATGTAAAAGCAGAACTCTGAAGAAGCCACGCACAAAGAGTCCGGATGCAGGTCAGTTCAGGAAGCAAAGATCTTTATTTTCACCGATCGTGTCTCAGCTGAACTCATGTCCAAAAGGTCTGAGCACTGAGCACATGGAGTACAGGCATTTTATAGACTATACATCCCCCATCTGTACCCTTACACCAATCAGCAAACAGGATACACAGGATTACCTTATATGGACAGGCAGCATGGAGGTCCATAATAATTAATAATTCACTGGGGTGGCCATTCATCATCCTCCCAGTTACCTATTTTTAAATAAAGTGCCGTGGAATATATTGGCGCTATATGAATGATAATAATAATAATAATTATAAATTCTGAGCATATACTGAATAAGAGCATATAGAATATCATGACATGCAAAAAGAGAAGCTTAAAGACCACCCATAAATACTATCAAGACCTATTTTTTGTCTTATTAAAATAATATGATAAGTAAATTTTTTTTGATTGTTATGATTTTTTTTTTTCTTGTTTATAATGGTAACAGCTTTACTCTTTTGACCTATATTTTTAAAAACAGGTTTTAAATACCCACAAGTTATTGTATTGCGAATACAGTTTAATTGTTGAACTTGATGACATAATCAACAATAGCCAAAACATATATGAAGTACATTTCTAAAATATAAGGACATTAAGTTAAGGACACCAACACAACTTAAAAGTGTTTTTCAGGTTTTGGCCACATATTACTCATGGTGTATGTTTCTCTAAATTAAAATGAAGTAGCAAATCATGAGAAATTTGAATGTGGTGAAAGAAAAGAGCATTAATATGAGGCCAAAATCTACCAAATTCACTTAAATTGTGTTGATGCCTAGTGTGTTACTTTAAGTAAACAGCAAACTACTTCAACGAAAAGTGTTTTATTCAAGTCTGCAAAACGAATAACATTCTGTTACATAGCTGTTCTTTTACATCAAGAATTTCAAACTTGCGGCCCACGGGCCACATGTGGCCCACAATGAATATATTTGCGGCCCACCTGCCCTGGGGCCACTTTGTGCTGTGGCTGCAACCAGTCACAAGACAGGAAAGATATTTCCTGTCTGATCCTTGTCTTCCCTCCCATGGTCACAAGAGGGCAGAGTGGCTGTCTGTCTGCAGAGCAGGCCAGCCATTCCCCCTTCCCTCCAGCTCGCAGTGTCAGAGGAGCACCTGGCCTATATGCAGAAAAGATCAAAGCTAGAATTAGAGGACACGCGGCTTATCTTAAAGTAGAAGAAGGGGAGCTTAAGGGAACCCTCCAGTGTAGTGTGTTAAATTGGGGAGGGGTAGTGTATTAATTTGGGTGAGGGAGGGGGCCAGTGTATTAAATTGGGGAAGGGTGGGGGAATTGTTTTAATTTGGGGGAAGGACGGGCCAGTGTATTATATTGATACAGAGGGAGAGGGACAAATACAGGAGCTTTGGGGACCCTCCTGTGTAGTGTGTTAAATTGAGGAGGAGGGCAGTATATTAATTTGGGTGAGGGAGGGGGTCAGTGTATTAAATTGGGGGGGCACTGTGTTAATTTGGGGGAAGGAGGGGGCCAGTGTATTAAATTGAGGAGAGGGGGCAGTGTATTAATTTGAGGGAGGGAGAGGAACAAATACAGGAGCTTGGGGGACCCTCCTGTGTAGTGTGTTAAATTGGGTTGGGGGGCAGTATAATAATTTGGGTGAGGGAGGGGGCCAGTGTTTTAAATTGGGGGGGGTGGGGGCACTGTAGTAATTTGGGGGAAGGAGGGGGCCAGTGTATTAAATTGAGGAGAGGGGGCAGTGTATTAATTTGAGGGAGGGAGAGGGGCAAAAACAGGGGGCCAGTGTATTGGAGTGGTGCGAGGGGGGCAGTGGGTTAAATTGGGGGGAAAACAGTGTATTAATTTGAGAAAGTGTGAGGACATCCATTGTCCGTTAGGCACTTTTTTTAATACTGTACTTTTCTAAATAAACCTTAGTTTTTTTGTGGCCCGCATAAATTTAAACCTTGTTTATTTGGCCCATGTTAGTCTTTGAGTTTGACATGCTTGTTTTACATGTTTTTTTCATTTTTGTGATTTTTTTTTTCTTTAAATTTATTTTTCACAGCAGATTTAGTGCCAGAAATAGCTTTAAGGACATTTCATCATTTGTTTCCCTCCCTGTCATAGGTACCTTATTTCACAGCCCTATTTTTCAGGGCTAAAATCCATACATAAATACTTCAAATCCAATTTTTTTAACTTTTTTTAATCCAGACTATTGCAAGTGCAAATAGTTAAGAACCATTGGCAGTTTAAGGGTTAATTTTGTGGCAGCTGGCCTGCACTTGCTATCCAGTAGTCCAATAATATAACAAAAATAAAAAGCTATGGGGTGCAGGGCCTGTACCTCATGGCAGCTGGATGCATTTTGTAAGAGCTCCTCACTAGAGATGTTGCGAACTGTCCGCGAACTTCTCGCGAACGGTTCGCCACAGTTCGCGGCGAACCGTTCGTGGCGAACCGTTCGTGGCGAACTCCAGTCAGCTGACACATCCCGGCCAATCTCCAGCAGACCCTCCCTCCCAGACCCTCCCACCTCCTGGACAGAATCCATGTTGAAGCTGCCTTCAACATGGATGCTGTCCAGGAAGTAGGAGGGTCTGGGAGGGAGGGTCTGCTGGAGATTGGCCGGGATGTGTCAGCTGACCAGAGTTCGCCACAAACGGTTCTCAACATCTCTACTCCTCACTCAACTCTTGAAAACTGCCAAACTATCGAATCCCAGCACGCTGAACCCACACAGTCTGTGACCTGCCAGCAAGCGAAGCCGCAGGAGCTACCTTGGAAGACAACTACGATGTGCTTATCATCATGTGCCCCTAAGGTTCCAGTGAGGACTTGTAAAACTGGGCCCTTTAAGACACCATCCTCACAAGCTTTCTATTTCTGCCAGATCCTGATCCCCCTCACCCTTTGGACTGGTGGGGGTTATCCCGGTCCCCACAGGCATTGTGCACATACCCAGTCTGAATCCTGAAAAACTCAATGGTATCAGCTCAGCAGTCTCAACAAGATGGCACCTCTTCTTCTGATGATAATCCTATTAAGCCCCATGGCAATTTTATTAGCTAGTGGAGCAATTTCTGGAACAGCTGGACGCACTTTTCTTATGCTTCTGGGAAGAATTAGAGAAGTGTGAATCCCTGATATTGCATTATCTTCCAGAGGAGGTAAAGAGGGATGGTGACTGCGGACAGAGCAAGTCTTTCTCAGGCACAGCTACTGCTCCAATGCACATATCTCCTTTCTATAGCCCACCTAGGCAGAACGCCTCCAGGGGATTCTACCACACGGCAGGAAGACAATCCGCCACTGGCAGTGGCAGACCACCAGTACCTTATATTGCTCCCACTATGGGAAGGATTTCTAATGCCATTAAGTTTGTGGCTCAGAGAAGCTGGCCTCCACATATGCCTGGGGCTGGAGAAAGGACCTACCTTGCCTCCAACGTGCCTTTACCCTCTGTGACCTCCCTGCACCACCTGCCTGCTTTCTTAGTCTGGGAATTGGCTGATTGTGTATGTAATACTATTGTATTTCACCTACATTTTCTTGTCACCATCATGCCAATCCTAGACCTGATGCATTCCCCTGTTACTGCTATTTGTTTTGGGGGGGTTTATATTTATGTGTACTTCTTACTTAATTTACACTGTGTGTGAGGCAGTTCAGCTGAGTTGTGCTTGAGCCTTGTTGGTTTTTCAGCATGAACATTTAGATAGTGGATCTGGATCGTGAATAGCACTAGTCTGTGTACTTTGCCTTACACGTTTCGTGAGGAAAGCCTCACTTCATCAGAGACTTCAATAGCTGGCAGATATGCTTGGAGGATACTTATATATGCAGTTAAACATAAAACCAGCTGGTACAAATTACATTGTATCAAATTACAATCATGATGCATATCAAGCAACTTAAATTGCGGATCTCTTAGGAAGCATTAATAAGAATGAGGACTGGATAAGAAAAGTAAGAAATAGTAAATAATAAATAGTAAATAATAAATAGTAAATAAAAAATGCAAGTAAAATTTATAACCAAGAAAAAAATACATAAAAATGAATAAAGCAACAAAGTATAGACAATAACAAGAATAGAAACGCGTAAGGCAAAGCACACAGACTAGTGCTATCCAGATCCACTATCTAGTAGAAGACCGTTACCACAGCAAGGCTCTACAGTTCACCGCACGAGCTGACCTAAATCTTCACACGAAGAGACACTGAAGATCTTTCCTCTCTGACATCGGTGGTAGCATACCCGGGAGTGAGGCTTTGGTTGGAACGCCGTGTGGAACGCTGTGTGGAACGCATGCCGACCTCACTGGCGGACCACACACAGTGAGGACTGCAGCTCTCACATATCCTATCCACCAGGAGAACTGTCTATACGTATAGATATATTCAGTTAGAGATGGTTAGCTTCTGCAAAACCTCTCACCCTGAATGTAATCACGAGATCAGCACTCCAGTGGTGTTTGGGGCCTAACCCCTATTTAGTGAGATACAAAGATAAAATATCCTCATTCAAAACTGAACACAAGGTGAAGTTTAAAATACTGACATTAACTGGATATAAGTTAAAAGCAGTTGCATTATTACCCTTACAACCAAACAATAAAAGAGGCAAAGTGAGTACAAAAGCTATTAAAGCTTTTCTCTGTCTGAAAGTTAGCTCAGAGATAACCCCTTCCGTATAGGCTTTATTAGAAATGGCAAAAATATCTGGGGATCTCAAAGGGTTAACTTATGATCCAATTAGCAAAAAACAGAGAGAAATGTAAGTTACTGTTGCAAAGATTCACTCCAGTATCTAAATGTTAGTGGACGCTAGCTAATAGAGGTGATAGGTAATTAATATTTAACCACTTGGACATATTAGCAGTTTACCCAAATAGTTAATACTATTATGCTGAAAGAGACTCCAGTCTCTGAATGTAAATTGAGGCTAGTTAGTAAAGAAGTATCCTTGGTATTTACCTACTTCAATTAGTTTGTAGGATATATAGAGATGTTTTAATTCCTGTTACAAAAATTCACTCCAATGTCTGAATGTTAGTG